AATAGTAGATTGCACATGGATATAACTAATGTATATAGATAATTTTATATTTTTCAAGCAATTTAAAATTGTAATGAATTTGCACGTTTCTATTGACACAAAAGATTATGGTTACGAACGAATATATATTATTTAATTTTTAATTAATATAATTTTTGTTCTCTTTTTTGAGAAAATATTTCTAGGTACTGAAGATATTAAGATTATATTTCTTGGTTTTTTTTAAGAAATCATTTGCAGGTATTGGACATCCCGCCATTCTAGGAGCATATCTTGTACAGTTTTTAAATATACCATTCTATATATATAATAAAATACATGCACAAATTAATATATCATTTCAAAAAACTTTTATACTTTTTTTGAATTTTATGTTATAAAATATTATATATGAATGTAACGTAAAATGTGCGTATACTTTAAAACTTCGAGACAAATCGAATGGGTACCCCGATATCAGGTCTCGAACAGTTGGTACCCGAGAATGATTTGTATTTGCACATTTAACATTAGCTACAATAATCGTGCATATATTTTATTATCCATTAATATAACCGTTCGTAACCACATTTTCATAAAAATTGTTATATTCATTTAATTTATAATAAAGAAATATATTTCTTAATAATGGAGAAGAACACATCTTTTCTCGCGAATTTCAATCTCGTGAATTAAAGATAATGGTAACTGTCATTGATTCGTTACGGAAATCATTGCTATCAGGAGTAGTTTGGAAGATTCGGGATTCGTTCCCTCCTACAACGGGATTCCTGATATTCAACGGATCACTTAACTTTTCTTTGTGGATTGATTTTGCGGGGTCCGATGAAGAAGCAAGAAGTTGATTGTTCTCCACCTTTAAGATTGTTCTTGTCTTTGTCGGATATTAACCGGCGTGTTATCTGGCGGAGGGATCTTGATCTGGTCAATTCGTTGGGCCAGATTAGCCAATTCTCCGCGAAACGGTACTTATATTCTTCTCAATCGCGAAATTTGCATAAAATCACGCATCTGAAAATAAATCTGGCATTAGGTTCTTTACAAATGTCCTATTACAGACGCGATTATAAAAAGCATTTTAAACGTCCGTCGAAACATTTTCGTATAAGTATGTAGTAATTATATCGTTCCTCTGATTATTCCAAAAATTATATACATTACATTACATACAATTACATGCATTGGAATCGAGTATTATGACTATCGTCGATTTATTTATTCGTCGCGTTTTTTTCACAAATTTTAAATCGCGGTTTATCTTGTGATTTAATCGTTGATTTACATCGAAACTTTTAAGGAATTGAATGCTTACTAGGAATTAAAAAAATGCTAAGATTATTAGGATATTAAAGAGCTAAACATAAGGAGAAAATATAAATAATATAAAATTTATTTGTAGGAAAACCAAAAATTGCATATATATTTATTTTATAGATTTAAACTTGTAAATATATATAGATGTATTATATTGTTATGTATATTTATAATATTGAACTTAAATGTAAATGCTGTCAATAACAAATTATCTATATATCAGATATATGTATACTGATAGCATCATTAATTGTAAATTATACTCTAATTATAATTGTACTTTAATTAATTGTAATTATAATTATAATTTATATAGAATTATATATTATAATAGCATTAATAATATTATAAATTATATATGAAATTTCCTTTCTTTGTAAATTACACGAAAATTTACCGAAAGAACATGTATAGTGGCAAAATAATAGAAATTTTAAATTAATATATTTTT